AGGGCTTTCCAAAGGCACCTCTGGCCGCCTCATTATGACTCGTGTTTGACCACGGAGCACAGACACTCAGGGACGCCGGAACTGGGGGGGGGGGCAGGAGGGGCAGCCGCCCCCGTTGCCCTTTACCAGGAGGGGCAAGAGGGGCAAAGGTGCCCTTTCAATTTAAAGAATTGCCTTGTCGAAATAGCGAATTGTCAGAAATGTTAGTGCAATTCATTTGCGAATTTGCTTCAGAAAAATGCAAGAAATGCAGTCATGGAGCTTCAAGAATAGCACAATCGCCTGGCGGAGAACCCCTCACACCCCTACCATCCAATCAATAGAAAACATGATTAGGCGAAATTCAACTCCCAATGTTTTGTAAACATCTCTTAGTATATGTCAATTCAAAAGTACCCTTTCACGAAAATCTGCCCCCCCCCTTGCCTTCACATCGTTCCGGCGTCCCTGAGCACAGTTACAGTGGAAGGATCAGTTTCGGGCTTATCCCAACCCACCCTGTCAACATTTCTTGTGCGAAAAACCGAAGTACCCGGAGAAAATCCACGACTTTCGGTAGAGCGCTGACTGGCTCTTTTCACATAAATGTCATGAGTCCACAGTGAGAATCGAACCCACGATCTCAGAGATGAAAGGCACTTGCTCAGGCGATAACGCCACCGAAGCTGGATGTAAAAATGGTATACATTTAGGGATATCGCAGTGCAATATTACTCTCTACCTGGTATACACTTCGGGATATCACAGTACTCCCATCTCTTGTTCCTATCTGTGGTAAAACACCAAGGTCGTTGTCCAGAGTTCTGAGGATTTCGACAATAATTCTCAGCGTTATTTAGTTCTCGATATGTATTGTTCATGGTATGACGATGTGGACATTGTTCTGTCCATGATTGACACGAAATACCCGAGGCTGTCACTGAAATGTTACCATGGTAACTGCTGCCGTTTAAGTACAGACAATCTACAAAAAAGTAGTAGTCAGACTGATAGACAAATTGAGAGACTAATAACTGACCGATCTACTAACCGACCGGTCAATTGGCTCACTGATTGACAGGCTGACTTAATGATGACTGACAAACCAACCGTATGATCGTCGGACCGAACGCCTACCGGACAAAGCACCGGATATTCTGAGCGACCAAACGTACCTTCCTTTTTCAAACTTTCTTTCCTATCATAAGATATACACTCAGGAGAGTCTCCAGCATTTCTTGATGCTTTTTCTAAACAACTGGTCAGAGCCTTTTTTTCTGGATAGTATTGCAAAAAGATTTCATTCAACGCCTCAACAAACGTACTACATTCATTTGTAAAATGAAGACACGACTCCTTACAAAATTTCTTCGTTCTAAACCCACTTGTGCTGCGATCACACCCTGGAAACATATAATAACAACCAGCGAAGCGCATCTGTTCTATGCATTCGGGTGATGATGAAATATATTGCCCTTTAAAAAATACTCGGGAGTACTGTTCCTGTCGCTTCCACAAACGGTTATTCCAAAGCTGTTGCTGACCTACCGACGCATTAACGTATTTATCAAGTTTGAATCCGTAATGTTCACAAAATGGTTTTTTCAGTTTGATTACAGGTTGACAGTCACCGTGTGTGGCATACACAGGCTCATCTTCTGCTGCTATACATGAACTAAAGAGAGAGGAATATTTCTTAAAACCCTTGTGGATCCAGGATCATCCATAAAGTATGCTCTAAAAACATTTTGTTAAAAAATTCCTGTTTCCTAGAAGTAATTCGGTTAACTCAACATTTCTGGTTATTTTATCTCACTTTTACCATAGCCTGGTTAATGTCATTTACAGTAATTTCGGAGAAACGTTGTACCAACCTCGTACCCAGGGCCTTTGCACCAAAGCCTCTGACCGAACAAAGTTCCTGGGTACGAGGTTGACGTTGTACCTGTTTTTTTCTTGGAGATAGTGTTCACCTGTTAATGTGAGGAAAATGTTAAATTAGTAAAAGCCTATATAAGTACACTGGAACGATTTTTTTCTCTGGCACTGGCAATGTAAAGGGGTTGCTAAAACAAGAGAAAGAATCGCATGTGTAATATGTTGTTCGCTGCAGCGCAATCTCACGAACTGAGGGAGGGGGGGGGGGGGG